ATACCCCTCATTACTTTTATGTTTGTTATGCTACCATAAAAAACAGGCAACACAAAGCATTAGTAGGATTGCATTTTCCATTGATTAACCTTTGAAAGCCTCTTCGACTCATCCCTGTTGACCACGTTAAGTACACTTGACAGGCCATGAGCAGACGTTTTAATTTCTCATGATTCTGCGCACAGATTTGTGGCAACAGCTTGTATGTAGATGCAGTGTCCAGTAGCTCCTTCAAACCTTTTTTGGCTTTATTGCTGAAACATCATTGAATGATGTGTGATTGGCTTTGATTTTTAAAGGATAAGCCAACATTTTTCAAATCTACTGGATCACAACTTTTTGACAATGGAAATGCAAGCAGATGCTGATGCCAGTAGGCAAGCTCCTTCAAACTTCTGTTTTTGTTTTGATGTTTAAGGCTTTATTGCTTAAACTGTTGTGTCTTTTAATGATGCCTCAATGATGAGTCGATGATCAAGACTTCTCTGGTACTTATACATATGGACAAACAAGTGTTGTAATTCCCCTAAAAGTCCAGCATGTCGTTGGGTTTCAGTTATGCAAACAATTCCTTGGGTCTTCCTGTCATTTTATGTCAACATGAACCCACCTGGCAGGAAAAGAACAACCCTGTCCCCACATAACCTTTCTCAAAGTTGTATTAGGATATGTACCATACTATATATTAGCCACTATGGGGGTCACTAGACCCCCACATAATCAATGCAACATTAATTTGTTTAGGAAAATTCCCCCACGACCCCCAAAAACCTTTCTTATGGGCGATCACATCTCTGTCTGCATTGATTATATATAATATATATGATTAACATTCTTCAAAACATGTTATAAATGTGATGTAAGCAACAACTCAAAGTCAGCGTTTGGTGTGCAGTTATGTAGACGTCAAAAATAATTCAAGAGGGATATAGCTCAAAATAATTCATGAGTACAACCTTGGTTGATACTTAAACTAATTGGATACTTGATGAGATAACATGATGTCAGCACAAACTAACCTAAATCGAAACTTATAAAGCCTACCATCATCGGAAAAGGAAGAGTGGGGTTTGGATTAAAGTGCAGCGGACCTTGAGATAATCGACCAGGAGGAGAGCCAGGATAGGAGCAATGCTGGCCCAACTTGAACTTGCTCCTGGCGAATGTCTGAAAGAAATGGAACTCAAATATAAATGGGAAATCAGTGACTTTTGTTGGCACATCTATGCAGTAACCTGCTCCATCAACATCCATCAATACTAGCAAGAGACTTATCTATCAGACACCAAAACACCCCACAGAAGAACTAGGTAGATAACTACAGGTTCAAGTTTTTATAATGGCCTCTTGTCTCAGACTAGTATCTTGAAAAAGTGGCAGCCAACTCCCACCAGGGTTTGTTAGCGTGACTGACCAGGTGGCTAGCGAGCTAGCTAGCAACCCCTGCATGCACTAGCTTGTTGTCACTTCAGTTTGTGGAGTTTCTCTTGGCTGAGGCGCTCTCTAGCCACCTTTCTAGTTTGCAGTCATCCAGCCATCATAATTTGGACCCTTTTCAAAGTCGCTCAAATCCCCCATGCTTGCCCATTTTCCCTGCTTCTAACATATTAACTTTGAGGACAAAATGTTGCTGCCTAATATATCCCACCCACTGACAGGTGCCATG